AAATCTTGATAGGAAACTCAAGCTTCGGAATATCGCATCAGCTGGGAGATATATAATCCATATGCAGCTGCAGCTTGTTTTGTTTGTACTTCGTGTCTTTTTGTGTTTTCGTTATGAATTATAAGCATTATTAAGTATTCTGATCACTTTGCAACATATTCATCATAAATCACATTCATCAATAAAACAAATTGAAACCATCAAACATTGATTATTTTCTTAAATGCTGAGATTTTACTTTTATGTGGTCTAAACCGTGGTGACTATACAATTCAATGTTTTTATAATGGCTTTGCTGTCCATATCTGTTTTGATTCGGGCTTGGCAACTTCTAGGGGGTACATCTAAACGAGTGTCTGCGTTTTTTCAATACATTAGATATCCTACAGGTCATGAAAAATTTACAGACGTATTTCATCCTCTTTTTGTCTCCGAATGAAATGTCAATTTTATCACCTCGAACATTGGTTCTCAGACATGTATGAGAAATGAGTATGAAATCACTTACATCCCCAATTTGAGGGGTTGGTGCAAATGAAATTCCACTCGATGGCGAAAATGAAATGCACCCAAGTAAACCACTAGACTCTTAGTATACTGTACAGTTATTTATTTAATAACTTTGATGTTAATTCTTGATATAAATGCACTTTTATTAAAATTGATGAATTTATTTAAAAGTTTGACACTCAAAAAAAAAATTCATTTTGATTATTATCAACAAATTTGATGAAACACTTTATGCAACATTTTGTTCAGTTTATTGTCTGTGTTTTTAAGTTCATAAAGTACGTACGTTTATATTTCAATGTGAAACAAAACTAAATACGAGCAAATAAATTGAAATTCCATGTAATTATAAAAAAAATATTATAGAGAAAGAAAACATAAATATATTAAAATACATGATAGACCAATGGGTGAATATTTCTATTTATTTAGAAACAAAGAGATGTTGTATGATTGATTACAATGGACCAAATATAAAGACCAAAGGACAGGGGGTCTGGACAATTATATATTCAATTTCCTTTTTACTTCAAGAATCAATGATTTCAACTATCTGTTCCGGACTAATGAATTTATGTACATAAAAAGATAGGATTTCCTATTGTTCTCAGGGGGCCTATGTGGACAAGTGGTCGAATTATTTAATACTGTATCACTAGCTTGTCAACACTGAGGTTGTGAGTTCAAACCGCACGTGGCCGGTTTCTTGATTCCAGTCTTTACTAGTATTATGAGTGTCAGTTTTTCTGCCACAGGTCAGTAGATCTCTACGGGAACTCCGGCTTCCTCCGTCAAAAAAAAAACCTGACTGTCACGAAATAGCTTACAGTGCTGAATGTGGCGTTCAACACAAATCAATCAATCAATCAGTCTAAACTTCGATAACGTGCACGCAATCATTCGAATTGTATTCGGTTGCACGGCAAGAAAACGTAAGATATCTCATACAACAAATAACTCACTTTGCAAGAAAACGTAAGATATCTCATACAACAAATAACTCACTTTGCAAGAAAACGTAAGATATCTCATACAACAAATAACTCACTTTGCAAGAAAACGTAAGATATCTCATACAACAAATAACTCACTTTGCAAGAAAACGTAAGATATCTCATACAACAAATAACTCACTTTTCATTGATTCGTAAAAGTGTTTCGCCTATCGCAAATTCCCCTATTATATCATATAAAACACATTTTTGAAAACATTATCAAAAACTAATTTGAAGTCTGATTTTGATAAATTTTGCAATATTAAATTCATAAACATGTACAGTTTTTATGTTTATTAAATATTTTTATGACATGTCATTACTTAGAAATCATTATCTGTATACAAATATTGAAATTAAGTCTAATATTTTTCTATATGGCCATGTGATTTTTTCATGCAGAAATTTATATTTGTCTTTCTCAAAAGTGAGTTTCCTAAAAATATAAATTATAAACATATTTCATAGTTTTCAGACGAGACTGTAGACATTTCTGCATTTAATGATAAAAAAATCATCCAATTCGGACAAGATCTTCAACAAATTAAAAACGTGATTTTGAATATATAGTGAGTTTTTAAATGGTGAAACAATTTTGACCGTTATTCTACATTGATTTCTACCGAAATTCATGCCCGTTACTTTACGTTGATGTTTACCAGAATACATGCCCGTTACTTTACGTTGATGTTTACCAGAATACATGCCCGTAACTTTACGTTGATGTTTACCAGAATACATGCCCGTTACTTTACGTCGATGTTTACCGGAATACATGCCCGTTACTTCACGTTGATGTTTACCGGAATATATGCCCGTTACTTCACGTTGATGTTTACCGGAATACATGCCCGTTACTTTACGTTGATGTTTACCGGAATACATGCCCGTTACTTTACGTTGATGTTTACCAGAATACATGCCCGTTACTTTACGTTGATGTTTATCAGAATACATGCCCGTTACTTTACGTTGATGTTTACCGGAATACATGCCCGTTACTTTACGTTGATGTTTACCGGAATACATGCCCGTTACTTTACGTTGATGTTTACCGGAATACATGCTCGTTACTTTACGTTGATTTTCATCAGAAAACATGCCCGTTACTTTACGTTGATGTTTACCAGAATACATGCCCGTTACTTTACGTTGATGTTTACCAGAATACATGCCCGTTACTTTACGTTGATTTTCATCAGAAAACATGCCCGTTACTTTACGTTGATTTAAACCAGATTACTTGGTCATTGCTTTACTTTGATTTTTATCAGAATATATGCCCGTTACTTTACTTTACTTTTTTTCATTATTAATTTCTTTTATTTGAACATGAACATTATAGTTTTATAATTATTTTTATACATAATATTTTAATTCTTGGAAGGAATAATATATTTCTTAGACAAAGTGAATACAACTGTTTTATAGACAATCATCAATTGATCCATAAACTATAATCGACAAACAATATATTTCTTTCTGTCATTGTTGAATTAACTTTCGGGTTTTGGTGCCGAAGCTTACAGACCGTTATCTATTGAAAAACAATCAACACAGAATCATGGAGCACGTGCAACATAAGTTAACAATAAGATGTATGTTTCATTATAATACGTTATTCTGATTGGCTACACTGCAATCTCGCGTTATTCCTTAATCAACTTCATTACACAATAAAATTTATCATTCATGATGACGCGAGGTCCCACAATAAAGTGCACAGGTAAATTAAATAAAAACTTGATAAAAATCGTGTTTTCATGATCCTAGCTAAAAATGTAATTATAAGTATTGAATGCTTCTTTTTGTAACTTCATAGGGTTGTAAAAGCGTTGACCGTGCGCACATTTTTAGAATGAAGCGCTTCCGCGCTTCATACAAAATGTACTTCGGTCAACGCTTTTACACCCCAATGAAGTAACAAAAAGAAGCATTCATTTTCTTAAGAAGATGTTTGTTTCTATTCATATCTTCCATGCGTTCCCATTTGTTAATTAAACTTTGTCATAACAGGTGTTAAATTATTTGGTTTATCCTGCAATCAGCAAAAACTACTGTACAAATAACAGGTACATGAATAAATATTTGCTTTATTTGTACTTGTACAAAGTCTCAGGTTACTCTGCTTCCACGCTGAGCAAACGGTAATGGGAATATTTCTATTTGGGTGACAGTTCATTTTGGGGTCCTGTTCGTGGTCCGCGTTTAAAGTCCGTCAATTTCTTTGAGAAAAATCATCGACAACTTTATGGATTTAAACAACTAAACCGTAAAATGCCGGTGTAAATTACAGACTAAAAACAATATATGTACATTGTCGGAAAATATAAAAATTTATTTGTTTTCGCTACAAAACAGGAGAAAAGCTCTGCGAGCCTCGTTGTTCTTCCTGTTTCTAAAGCTCGTACAAATAAATTTTATATTTCCTGACAATGCACATATATTGTATAAGTCTTAATTGTTTGACTTCAAAATCTATTAATCCAATCTTCTTTCCACCTTTTTTTTTTACCTTTTCTGTCATCACGGTTTTTCCTCGCACTGCATACGGAAAAGCTGTCGGCGAATTAGAGTACGGAAAATCAATAATTAAATAGCAGTACATTTATGAAGATTTGGATAAAATAGAGGATTTTCTTAAAAAGAAAGTCTATGTTTACGTGTTTTTTTAGTAAAACTTAGTCTTTGAGATTTGAAGTGTCATATGACTTCATACCGCCCACTTTCTACAGCCACACCCCTTATCTTTATATAAAACTGATTAATTACCAATCTATATTTCATCATTCTTTCATATATTGCATGAGTTAATTTGAGATTTATATTGAATATTTTGTAAATCTTTCCAATCATCAAATACTTCTTTCCAAAATGGATTTTCAGCTTTTGATACGGACCAAGAAATTGCATTTTCCAAATATTCAAGTTTTCTGAAAAGAGAAATAGTTTATGATAGAATTTGGGAAACTTCATCAGTTACTAATTAGATAGTTGAATAATAAAACAGGTCACTATATTTCAAATCTTAACTTAAATAGTAGCTGTTATCGGACAACCTTGACTTACTCGTCATTCTATATGTTTTATTGATGTCAAATTAAAGATAAAACACATTTATACGACATTTTGTCTCACATATATATATATATGTTACTTGCCTTTAAATAGATAAAGTGTCCGCATGTTTATCAACAACACAATAAGGAACTAAAACTCCTTAATGTAAAATATTAAAATAAACAAACAAACGATTTCATTTGTTTATTTTTCAAATGTACTTAATTTCTTGAATTTTAGTGTAAAATAAAAATTTTGTTATTAAAATCTTGTATTTCATTTTTACCGTTAAAATTCGTGAGCTAGTGCTTGACGTGATGTATTGTACAATTGATTCTGTGGCCAAACAAAAAGCCTCAAATTGACAAAGTGTTTGACTGACGTCATACAAAATAGGTTTGTTTCCTGGTTATATAAATAGACATTGTACATGAAAGGTGTATAAAACCGCTAGAGACGTACCTGATACAATTATATACTTAAAAAGGTAAGAGAAAGTAGCTTATTGTGTTTATATTTTCGGTTATAAGGAAACTCAAGAAGAACATTTAAATATTTATGATTTAAAAATAATAATTAAGAACTAGTCAAATGTAAAATACAACAACAACAAAATTTAACATTAACGTGAAATTACTCTTTAATAAAAACAAAATTTTGTCATTGGTGAAAATATTAATTAAGAATAAGTCAAATAAAGAAAACAGACCCCCCCCCCCCCAAAAAAAAAAAAAAAAAACTAAAAAAAGTAAAAGTTCGCGTGAAATTACTTGGTATTAAAAATAATATTGTAATGGTAAAACTATTTTCATAACAGTTTTATGTCTCCTTATTGGGTGTAAATTATAATGCTGTAAAAATATAACTTGGCAAGCAATTTTTGCCAAAGCCATACATTGCTATTTCATTTAATTTTACACGTGTTTCAACATAAAGACTGGTTGAAGTGTTTAACGCATGACGATAAGGATTATTGAGATTTTGATACACATATGAAAGTTTTATTTGACTACAAATATATCATTACAAAATATAGTCATATGATTAAGTGACTATGTAAATAAAATTACAAAAACAATTATGAACGAGAGAGTCTTTACGTACAAAAACATCTTCAGTATTCAGTCTAGAAATATTGACTTATGGTCAATTGACCGTTTCAGAATCTAAAGGACAATGGTCATTTCATTTTTCGTACCCCTAAAAGAAAATAACGTTACGTTATTGGTTTAATTTCCATTGTTTATAGATATAAGAAGATGTGGTATGAGTGCCAATGAGACAACTCTCCATCCAAGTCAAAATTTATAAAAGTAAACCATTATAGGTCACAGTACGGTCTTCAACACGAAGCCTTGGCTCACACCGAACAGTAAGATATAAAGGGCCCCAAAAAATTACTAGCGTAAAACCATTCAAACGGGAAAACCAACGGTCTAATCTATATAAAAAACGAGAAACGAGAAACACTTATGAACCACATCAACAAACGACAACTACTGAACATTAGTACGTTTCAAACCAATCACAGCAATTGTATTATTTTGTTTTCAGATGTCATTTCTATTTGGAAGTATTTGTATAATACTATTAAGTGCTACAGTAAATGGCCTCATTGAGGACCGGCCTATGCCAAGCTTATTATATGAATGTTTCTTCAACCAAACTAGCAAATATGATATAACTACAAAACCGTCTTACTCTGTGTTCACACATTGTCGAAATTACTACTGGACAAAAACAGCCTCTGACAGATATAGTATCAATATAGATCCAAGTGTCTTTACTTATGTGGAAAGATTAGAAAATAATAATCTGTTTAACAACAGACAGAAGAGACAGACTCGAGGACCATTCCAGAGAAGGATCAGGAAAGAAATTAGAGCTTTATCAGATACAGAGAGACAGGCATTTTTCAATGCTGTTGTACAACTGAAACTTGATACTGTATGTTATAATTGTTTTTACTTCCCTTAATTCCCTGCACATTAATTGATATCTGTTGTCATTCAAACATTTTATCGGAAGGGAAACAGCAGAATTTCATCATTTTGAAAAGGTACCTTAAAATCAATTTTAAAGAGACGAATTAATGACAAAAATACAATCAAAAAGATAAACTGGCAACAAAATGTCATATGTCAGCCTCAGAAGTATCCTTTAATGCGAAACACCAGTACTATGAACTTTACATCATTAAATGTTATGATGACAAAAATACAATCAAAAAGATAAGCTGGCAACAAAATGTCATATGTCAGCCTCAGAGGTATCCTTTAAACACCAGTACTATGAACTATACATCATTAAATGTTATGATTTAGTTATTTGTGTCCTAAATACAAATAAATCCGAAAGAAAAGACAACACACAAAATATATCTGAAGAACTCTTAATTGATACTGATATTTTGAGAAATCGTTTTTGATATGTCAATTAAAAACTGCGCCTTATATTACAGAGTGTTCGACCTAATATATACGACGCCATCGGGGGTCTACATTCAGCTAATGCAGTACAAGGGGCACATTTTGGACCTAATTTCCTTGGATGGCATAGATATTTCTTATATATGTAAGTATAGTCATCTTTCACTCCAATTCACGATACCGTACTTTGAACTTTGAAGCTTTCTTCTGAAAATCTTTAATACTCAGTTTACTATACACAATTTCAAAATCAAAAAATCTGTCAAACTATTGTGAATAAGCAATGTAATTATCAGCCAATGAGACAGCAACAACACAACACGAAAACGAAAGAAATCCATAGATAAACGGGACTAGGGTTGTCAGTTTTCCTGACGAAGGTCGATGGTTCTCACCATGTACGACTCCTACCTCCACTAACAAAAAGTGGCTGTCATGACATCGTAAAGAGCTTGAAGTAGCGTTTAAGCTAATTTACCAACAAACAAACTCAATGAAAGTCAATATAAGTACTAAAAGGGCAGATCTTGTGCCATCATGGCATCGAACATAAATTTTTCAAAATACTATTATTTTAGCAATATTTCTATTTATTTAGTATTATACCATTTTCCCCTGTGTACAGTTTCCTGTTGTTTTTTGTAAGTGATTTGAAAATTTAGATTTTAGTTACTTCCATTATCTTAATTTCATTTGTCCTAATTTAATTTTTATGTGTCATTGGTTATAAGTTCAGTAACATGAACGTGTTTTTAATCATTGATGAATTTGGGAGTTTGGAATTTTAGATTGAAACAATATCCATACCTCTCGTTATTTTGATGGAAAACACTTTGAGAATAATATTCCGAATAAGTTGGGCCGAAATTCATACGCTACAATTTAATAATGCTGTGGTTTATCAAAAAAAATTTCCAACTGATTAGTATATATACATAGGAGATATGGTATGAGGTATGAATACTAATTAAACAAACTATCTCCAATCATTTTCTTATGATTTTTAACTGCGTCATATACATTAATATGGCACAGTGACATACTTAAACTTCAAGGCTAAACAAATAACAAGGCGTTCACCTATAGGATTTTAATTGTTGTGTTTTGACCAGTTTGTGTATCTAAAATTTAGAAAAATTAAATAAAAACTTGCTAGTTGATAAACATATTATTCTGCCACACTTTAAAAAGATCTTGAACAAAGACATTGTAAAAAATAGACATTTTCCATAGAAAAAACAGAGTTTGTCAAATCGTATAGTTACTAAGATATTTTAGATTAAATAGTCAGAACAAAAATATGTTAAATATAATGCTATCTTTGTAATACATAAAATGTGACATCATTTGTCTTACACGATACTGTACTAGAGAATCAAATCCCCAAAGATCCAAATGATATATGATCTTGTTTATTTAATTGAAGATTTGAAGAAGCCTTGAGGACCAAAGATCCAAATGTTGCTCTACCATATTGGGATAGTACAAAGGACTTTAACATGCAGCTTGACGACCCTATTGACTCAATTGTCTGGACGGCCATGTTTTTTGGAAATGGTGATGGAATTGTAGATACTGGACCATTTGCAAACTGGAGAGATCCGACAGAGGCTTTCTTGCAGAGAAACATTGGAAGTCCTGGTTCCCTAATGACACCAGAAGGGATACAGGCCGTTTTGTCTCAAAGGTTCCATAGAGATATATTACAACCGACATCGGGAGCTAATAATGACCTGGAAGGTCACCATAACAACGTTCATGCTTGGATAAATGGTCACATGGGTGGGTTAACAACTAGTGCGTTTGACCCAGTATTTTTTCTACATCATTGCTATATTGATTACGTATGGGAACTTTTTAGAAGACAACAATTTCAACAAGGTCTTAATCCACAATTTGATTACCCAAACACTGGAGTTGACGGTCATTGGCCCTGGTCAAGAATGGTAAATTTAGGAAGAATACGTAATGTTGATGGGTATCATAATGCATTTATGAGGATATATGAATACGAAAGGTCTCCTGCGTGCCCTTCTTGCGGGGGATCACCATTTTTAGAATGTGATTCAACACGACAAGTATGCGTGTCAGTTTCGTCGAGAGCATTCCGAACGACTGGTCCACAATTACCTACCGGAAATTCATTTGGAGCACCAGTTGCATCTATGATGAGAAGCAACGAAAGAATGGCATTTAGCAATGACCCTCAAGAAAAGACACTTGACGTACAGCAAAAGTTTATACCTTCAAAAATAGATCCAAGGACGATTGAAAAACAAGTTAACAGAGTCAAACGTGCAGTATATAACCCAGAACTAGCAGCAGCAAAAGCCGAAATGTTACAATCAGCGGGTAACCATGGTAGGGTAGGCATGTCAGAGAGTAGCATTTCAGTTAGAACTCCTTTTGGTAGAATTAAAACATCAGTGTCAGATGTCAGTGGTACATCTCCAGGATTTAATCATTTAAATGGCGGAAACATTTTTACAGATCCCATTTCTTCCCAAAATAGTAGAAATTATTTTAGCGATGTGAGATCACCTGTTGGTGGTTCGAACATCGAAGGTATACATTCTAACACTGGTCAATCACAGCCAAAAACAGTTTTGTCAACTTCGGAAATGAAGGGATTACCAACAATTGCTAAGAGAAGAGGTTCAGCTTCCGGTACAAACGCCTTTAACATTCTGATAGACAATGAAGATATAGTAGAAAAAAGTAGATTTATCGATTTGCCTATTCAGAATACCTTTGTAATGGATGGGATCCCTGATGTTGGTCGATGGGCTTTCACTCCGGTAAGAATTATACACAAACGTCCACCTGGTTCGTCTTTTGACTGTAAAATCATAAAAAATGGCCGCATTTCGGAAGGCGCCGACTTTTATTCTCCGTCTAATTATCTAAATCTTCAACAGCAATTAGGAACTGGGACACCAGCAACGTATCCTAAAGCAATGAGATCTGGTTCTGGAGCATCGAAAATTTTTGTTCAAGCGGATGGTGTTTCATACGAAGGAAAGTATACTGATTATGCAATCGTAGATGAAAGACAGCCTATATCTGAGACTGTAACATATGTAGCAATTAAACATCCAAAACTAGGATTAAGTCAATCATTTATCACAGCATATGACGCAAACGGACGAATCTGTCAACCACGTTGTTTGATTTCAGGATCAAACCCACCACGCTATAAGATCTGTTCAGGGCTGATTTCCGTTACTGATTCCTTGCCAAAAATGTACGGAGATACATACGGTGATGCAGTAATGAACAGGTATTCATTTGACAGTCAACATTGTCCAACAAACAAAGATGATGATATATTTTTGACATTTTACTGTGATTATGAAAACCAGTGGCCATGGGTTGGATATCCACATCTGTAAAATATCTTTCAAGTGAAAAGGGATGAAGTGAGCTTTTACGTTACTATCCAAAATGGTAGACAAGGATTAGTATTTGCGATTTGCTTTACATCGTGTCCCCTATTTCTTGAAGTAAACACCAAGTGGAGCTGTTTGGCTGAAACTTAAAGCATGAATTACCTTCATTTACGGTACCAGTTAAAATCTACAAAACAGGTCAACCAGCTGTTAAAGATGACTTCTCAAATCACCAAATAAATTCCTTTCAACTTTATTCATTACTTTTATTACAATACAATTGGACAACCCTCTAGGTGTTGATCCATGCTTTAAACATACTACTTCTATTTAACTCATGTCATATTTTGTGTATAAGTTGACATTCAATATACTTTGTATAAGTTGACCTTCAATATAATTTCATATTTTTGTATAAGTTGAAATTCAATATATTTTCATATTTTGTATTGTTTTATTGTCTATTGAAAAGAGTGGATTACAAAGCAACTAGACGACACAAGAAAATCAAAAGAATTTCTTGATTTCATATACAAGCTCACAAGAGCTAGTGTTATCTATGACTAAAAATAGCAACGATCAACATTCAATCTATCTAGCCGTGGATCAGTTTAAAAAATAAACTGACGCAGTTACTAAATTAAATTATATAAATGCTTAAGAGTGTAATTTTGACACGCCAAATAATTGTTATATATATTCACGCAATATTTCGCTAAACAAATTAGCTTCATCAGGCGCGTGCAGCCATTCAAATAAAATCGAATGATGTTAAGAAATGTTTGAAGTTTATCGTACATGCCCTTTAAATATATATATTTGCAGCTTATAGTACATTGCGTTTAATAGATCAACACAAATACTTGTGTTAGTCAAATAGTATGAAGTTCAAGATTTATTCCTTTGTTTTTTTAAACTGTTTTTTATCTCTCTCATTCAGTCCGTCAGTTTCAAGAGTACGTAGCTGATACACCCCAAAACTCTCTATCTGTTTTCTACTTTGAGTGTCCCAAATTTTCAAATGAATGTCCTGTTCTTAAGCCTGAGGTGTCTCGTAATTGGGCAATTTTCCTTTGGTATAAAATGACCGGTGATTGTTTAGTCTGATGTGGAATTTATACTACGGGCGCGCCTGATGAAGCTAATTTGTTTAGCGAAATATTGCGTGAATATATAAAATATAACAACTATTTTAATAACGCTCATAAGCATGTTAAAGTTACATTCTTAGGCATGTATATATATAAATCTCTCAAATTGAGGTAAATAACAAAAGCTCTCTAAAAAATCCGGAGCTTTCAATCGGTCATGCCGGTCTTCTTCAGCGGAACTTTATTGTAGGACCGACATGATGGTCGAAAGCACCGAATTATTTTAAAGAGTTTTTGTTAATATATTTATTATATACTTTCTTTGATGTAATCTGGAACAGGATTCATGGGAACCTCGTATTATTGAGAATGCCATTTTAGAATGAATAGTTTTTTTTAATATTGTTACGATATATGTTTGATTTAGCTATGGATCTCGTTCCCAATGCATGGTATGAATAATTATTCTTTTTTTGTTTTATTTAACAACAATATTGCACTTTCGATTAACATGTAGTTTACTAGAACAGCCATACCAGCAAAGGTGCCTTATAATCAGTAAAGATATAGATATTTCATAAGACATTAATCATTAATTTCATTGAAATTCCATCATGTTATGTTTTTATAAATCATTATGTAAATTGTATTTAGTTTTTAATTTATTTATTATTAATTCATGTATTACACTAATGAAAAATTGAAATAAACCAGGAATGAATCCTAATTAGATATAACAAACGTGATCATGAATGGTTAATTATTCGTACATTATACCACATTTGTGTGAAAGAAATGACATATTTGATAGGCCACAATAAAAAATAAAGATCGATTGGTGCAGACACGAATAAATAAGAGCTACTGGCATGCTTATTAACTAGTAGTCAAGTGTTTACAAGAATACAATCTATCTTTCATACATTTTCATCAACAAAAAATAATTTGATGTGGCCTAACTTACAGCTGTAACAGCGCCCATAAATGTCATTGATTATTATCATGTCGATCTTTAATATCAAAATGATAAATGTTTTTATCAGGTGTTAAAAAATGAAAGATTTATAGTCAGCGTGTACATACTTTGGCGGAATAAGTCTGGGTAATACGACGACGAACTAATATTATTTATCATGCCGTTATAGAGTTCAATGTTCTTCCTGCCCTTCCCTCCATGTATGTTCTTTAATAAACCTTATATTAGCCGAGATCAAAGAAGGATGGTGATTAGTTTAGTCCGTAACAAATTCATATGCCTTTTTTCATAGGTCAGGAGCCTTGTTTTCATGTGCCTGTCAGGAGGCTCGTTGGGTAATTTTTCTCTCATTTACTCGAGTAATTCTTTGTTGGAGACTTTGACCTTAGTTGCAAATCTATATTAGTCTCTATTTGATTCACATCTTTTTTTCGACTCAGGGCGATATGGAGTTTAGGAGTTTGTATTGACAGATGTCTATTGTTAAATATTGTAATATGCTTCTCTCTAGATATCTCCAATTAATATGCATTGTTAGATTGCTGTCTAATTGACGTATGCTTTACATCTCCCTAGTTTTTAACAATTGAGGATAAAATTCCCAGAAACTACCAAAGCCCTGCCATCACGATCAGCATCAAAATTTCAACATGCCAGAATGTCAAAGTTAATTTTCTCATCGGCTTGTGTTTGTCTTTAAATTATCAGTCTCATAATCAACGTACTTAATCTTAATGTGGCCATGCGTCTCTTAAAAAAAAATCATTTACTCCTAGATTCAACTGTTGAACTTCTTTCTCTCTTTCTATCAATCGTGCCCTTTTGTTCATATTTCCGCCAAGAAGACATAGCTTCAGTTTTAACATGATATTAATGATGCATCATAGTTCCTACTTGTTGCATAAACATTGCAACAGCAATGAAACCAGTTAAACTGGACTGCGTGCTTGTTCTGGATAGGCTCTTGTTGCTTTCTTACTCACAAAACGATTTATGTATTAGACCTTTAAGATTGTACCCGATGATAGTTATTCTAGAACATGTCATACACAATGAAACTATATCACAGGTAATATTATCCAAAACAAACAAAAAATAATTGAGACAACGATCCGAAAACCTAAGGTTACAGAAATAAAAGTTATTCTTTCTCAAACTAATTAAAAATATTATATTGGATGAGTTTAGTTTTTATTTATTTTAATATCAAAATAAACCATTACACATATTTAGCTTTATGAATTAAGTAACGTGGCTACTATAACCGGGTACTTTTGATGACGTCATTTCTGTTTGGAATGTTTTCGATGACTTCATTTCTGTTTGGAATGTATAGTTTCAGATGTTTTCTATTTAGCAAAGTTTGCGTTCCATTACTATCAGACATTTGGATTGATGACTCATGATGAAATGAGCTTTTATTTCGAATTTCAAATGCTGATTTATCATCAATTTTGATAGGTATTTCAATTTCAACAAATTTTTCTTCTTTGTAAACAATACCGGAAGTATCCAACGGTATCATGTCCTCAATTGTTGGATAATTATTCATAATTGCAAGGTTGGAATCTTGACCTTTTTCATGGTTTGAAATATTTTTTTTTTCATCGTCTTCGGTTGTAAAATTGTGGTTGTCAATACCAATGGTTTCGTCCTTCAATTTGTCTTCTGATTCTAGAGACGCACACCTAGTTTGGTGTGTATTTTCTTGTAATCTTATTCTTATAATGTCATCCTCCATTCTATATCCCTCGTAATTTATACTAGATTGGGATGCGTTCCGAGATGACTGAGGTGTTTTTATTTTGATTTCCTGGTCCTGTGCCCAGGATTGCTCCTCGCCTTGAGCAAAACAGTCAAACAGAATAGTGCCTACAATACCAACTCCGGCACATATAATGAAAACAATCTGCCATTCTTCTTTTGTTCCCTGAAATATGAATGAGTTTGAAAGAGAGGCGAAAGATATCAAAGGGACATTCAAATTCATAAATCGAAAATAAACTAAAAACGTGAAGCTATTAATGATATCCACTTTTAGATAAATAGTTATAAGATACAAGTCTGTGAGATATTTGAACTCTTCCTGTGCGTTTAATCTTTAATCTTGATTTATTTTTATTCAAGCCAGATTTGGCAAATATACAAAATGAATAATGGCTTGTAAGATCATGTTAGTACTGATTAGATTTGTAAAACAACCTTACCACAATTTGCATCAATATATGAATAATAAACACATAAACACTGAATTTTGGCAAATTAAAATGAAATGCTGAGATTTAGAAGTGTGTGCACCGCGGTATTTTGCACTGATGGCAATGAGTAAAATGTAGATCGTATTACATAGTTTGGAAATTTCTTTACCGAAAAAAGGAGGATATTAACCCCTATATTGCAGTGTCTGAACAGAACATGCAATTTGTGAACCGGAATACACATGTGTCGCACACTATTGCTTCTACATAATACCGTATCTCTCTATAGGATCTGTTGTTTCGTTTATAGTTCAGAATATTGTTTAAGTAACCTCGTGTCTTATTTTATGCACGATCATTCGTAAACGCTCATTAATTATTCGGTACGTATACATCCTCGGTTTTCAAAGTATTGGCTTTGAGCGTTCCTAATGAGGCGGAATCCAGAAAAGCGCATCGGACGCAGACAATTTTTAAAGTGCGCCTTTTGAAATTTAATTATGATGAAGGAACGAGCAAAGTTGATTGGTGATGATGCAGAAGTAGCATCAATATATATTATTAGCATGATCTTTTATAGGCTTTATGACAGAAACGTGAATATGCTTTCCAACGAAAGTTGGCTGTTCTGATAGCATTTACAAATACAATAGTTTGATAAATATTTTATGAAAAAAAACTGTAAAAAAATAACAAATTTATATTCAGAACTTGGGAATAGCATATACATCAGCAATACAAAACATCAGTCGAACCAGGACTGAAAACACAATTGTAAAAAGAATATTTAAAGACAAGCACATTATCTACAGTGAACCAAACACTATAAAAAGCTAGTGGCAAGAAACAATCAAATGACAAGAACCATGACTGAAAACACAATTGTAAAAAGAATATTTAAAGACAAGCAAATTATCTACAGTGAACCAAACACTATAAAAAGCTAGTGGCAAGACACAATCAAATGATAAGACACCAGATCATATCATCAATGATGGATACAAGATGAGATTGTAGCTACCAAAAAAAATTAAACATATCCGTGGTCCGTGGTCACTATGATATTTCAACAATGATCAACCATATAATGATGGCGTCCGTAAAGCATTCTAACAGATGACTTCAACTTTATCGTTTAGAAAATTGGTCATGTGACCTCCTTGAAAGCAGGAAATATCTATACAGGAAATCATTATCGAAAAACAAAAAAAGTGACTTTGACATCTACACTATATAGAAAAGGAATATTGGTAATGAGAAAATGATAATAATTTTTGAGGCAATGGTAAGACCTCATCGTCGATATCTAGCAGTAAAAACTCACAAAAGATATCAGGCATATCATTTTGTACTACAGACTCGCGTTTCGTCTGCACAAGACTCAGCAGTGGCATTCGGTCCCAAAAGTTGGAAAATCTTATCAATTACGAAATAGAAAACCCAAATTCCAAAAGATATGCCCTTTTTGGCAAAGAAATGTCTGAGTGTTTCGATTGCTTCAATACTTTATGGACAGTACATTTACAGGGACGTTTTGGTGACAACACATCAACAAGTAATAAACCAAATAAAGGCAACAGTAGTATACCGCTGTTCGAAATTCATAAATCGATTGAGAAAAAAACAAATCCGGGTTACAAACTAAAACTGAGGGAAACACATCAAATATAAGAGGAGAACTCAGTATTTGCCATTTAGGATACTGAGATCACGTCCTAGTTTTGGTGGGGTTCATGTTTCTCAGTCTTTAGTGTTCTATGTTGTGTTTTGTTTACTGTTGTTTGTCTTTTGGTCTTTTTCGTTTTTTACAATGGCGTTCAAAGAATCCTACTAGTTGTAAAATCGAATCAATTAATAAGCTTATGATTATTGAAAACTCCAAAGCGTTGTGCCAAATATATTCCTAGGCGGAAGAACAACCTTAGTGAAAACACAATGTAAAAATGCAGAAAATGCATTGAACAGAATCAATAAATTGAAAAGTTTTACTTTCAATTGTTAAGTATGTTGATAGCATCTTTATCTATACTACTGAAGGAAGAGACCGATTTCATTGAGCCGCAACTCCTCTGAAACCATACAAAGTCGGAAATATTTGTGATATGACGTATAAATGTTGTTTTCTTCTTCTCTTAGTAAATTCCTCCTTTCTCGGAGCACCCGTGTTACTCTAAAAAAAATACTACAAACTCGCACCACTGAAAAAATGTTTTAAATCATCAGAGAGTTCTAGATTGTCTTCTTCTTCTCTGAAATATTTCCTCTGTTCTTGGAACACCCGTATCACACAGAGACAGAACTTGACTCTCATCTTTCGAAAAAAAAAAAAAATACTACAAACTAGCACCACTGAGAAATGTTTTAATCATCAGTGTTCTAGGTTGTCATCTTCTTCTCTGAGTTATTTCCTCCGTTCTACGAGCACCTGTGTAACACCGAGACAGAAGCTACTGACTGGACATTCAAACTCCTATGGAAAAAGAACTGACAAACTAATAAAACTATCAACATAATGCATCAGTGCATAAAAACAGTTTGAGAAACACGAACCCAAGCTGTGTATCACCATAAACATTTCAAGTAGTCTTCAAGCCGCGCTCGCGCGGGTTTTTCTTCTAGTATTGTTAAAGTTAGAGGATAATGGTATCTTTATATCGTATAATAGTATATTTATCTTTATTAAACTTACTGTCTTTATTATCATATAAGTGACTAAAGGAGCGACCAAGGCGGCTATCGTTGCGAAAAGCATTGTAAGACCATTAATTACGCCAGCAAATCTGTATTAAATTAAAGGAGGCAGTAATGAATCTAACTATTTGAATAATTGATAAACAATTTATTTAGTGGATTCTTAGATTCTTTTCAGAGTGACATAAAAAAAGAAGAAAGATGCGATAGGGGCATTTGAAAATAACATGTCCAAAAGTCCAACATACAACACCAACATTACATATACACGTCATATAGGCTATTTCTCTAATCATGTCTTTCACAGTAAAAGATTGTCAATTTCGCACGCCCTTATGACGTCATTTACCAGATAGAAGGCGCGCCAGTATCTCTGCACTATTAAAGTTTCAAGCATTTTCAAAATCGTCATTCTGTGGATAGTCTAGAAATAATTCATGTTCCGTAAGTACGTAATCTGAATTCTCATACAACTGAAGGGCCGGAGGATGACCAACTAATTAGATTTTAATTTCCATGATATTTGGAGCAGTATAGCATCAAACTTTTTCACCCGTTCGCTCATCATGTGTTAGAAGTGACGATGCCTACATTTTGGTCACGTGGTGATAGAAGTCACTTGACAGATTCAACTAACTACCCTATCTCGGAACTGGCGTATTGAATCAACCCACAGTGACAAACATATTCATATAAATGTTTTCAAGTCATGACAAATGACAGCCATTTATCAAACTATAGAACATAAAGAGAACAAATGTAATCAAAGGGAGATAATTTTAACAAGGAGAGATAAATATAAACAAGTATCCTGCATCGGGTCGCCTTAGAAATTGATTTAAGCATATCATTAACAGAGATGAAATAAAACTTTTCTTATGTTTTCCCTGATCAAGGATGTTATGTTAACAAGATATTCGAATATAGCTGTTCATTTTCTACCTTTTACAATTTCTAAATCATCGTTTATGGTTTTAAAGCTGTAAAATCGACAATGTATGGCAAAGTACCACATAGATTTGAATAAACAAATGAAATCACGAAAGCTTCCCAAAAGGATAATGGTCAACCTTCTATTAGGAAAAAACTAGTTATATGTATCATCGAAGAATGATCTTGGTATACACATACTAATGAGATGTAAAATCAAGACATCAAATTTTATTTTATTTACAGAATCATTGACTTCTCCTAGCAATTTACCTTAATCCTCACTAATCTATTACGTCTAATAAAACTTACATTTTTGACAATAGCAGTAGTTATCAATGGAGATACAAGTGAAGCTAATGATGCACATGTCATAGTCATACCATTGAGTACTCCCGCATATCTGAAGAAAATACCAACATAAACCCATAAAACAAAGCAATGGAGATACAAGCGAAGCTAGCGATGCACATGTCATAGTCATACCATTGAGTACTCCCGTATATCTGAAGAAAATACCACAATAAACCCATAAAACAAAGCAATGGAGATATAAGTGAAGCTATCGATGCACATGTTATTTTCATACCATTGTATACTCCCGCATATCTGAAGAAAATACCAACATAAACCGATAAAACAAAGCAATGGAGATACAAGTGAAGCTATCGATGCACATGTTACAGTCATACCATTGAGTACTCCCGTATATCTGAAGAAAATACCACAATAAACCCATAAAATAAAGCAATGGAGATACAAATGAAGCTAGCGATGCACATGTCATAGTCATACCATTGAGTACTCCTGCATATCTGAAGAAAATACCACAATAAACCCATAAAACAAAGCAATGGAGATTCAAGTGGAGCTATACCACAATAAACTCATAAACAAATGGTTCATACGAAATATTCTAATAACGAGCAAGCAAGTGTGTATAAAGAAAATCCCCAAAATAATCAGATAAACAAAAGTAATTTAATGATGTTCTTAACTCGAAGACTCATTCTCAAATCTACAAATCTACAAACCAACAGGGAAATAAACCTTCGTCAATCGCATGAGTTCTAAATAGACATACACCCGTTACATCGACAGTATAAGCATCTCCTATGTATGCACTACCCGACAATCTGGGGAGAATGCACACTACAGATAAACACCATCTTACAGTGTTTATATTTCACAACTCGTTCGCTATGCCCGTGTCTGTTGTGACGTTTTTTATTTTGATTTTTTGTACATAGATTAGGCCGTTAGCTTTCTCGTTTGAATTGTTTTACATTGTCATTTCGGGGCCTTTTATAGCTGACTGTGCGGTATGGGCTTTGCTCATTGTTGAAGGCCGTACGGTGACCTATAGTTGTTAATTTCTGTGTCATTTGGTCTCTTGTGGAGAGTTGTCTTATTGGCAATCATACCACATCTTCTTTTTTATTTATACATAATTTACATTTTATAGTTAAAGCAAGAGGATCCATGAGATCTGAGGAAATATGCCAGCAGGAAACGATAAACACCATGCAAAAGTATCCTGCATATCTGATGAAAACAATATCAAAAAGGTCTTAAAAGTTATTCCGAAAAACATTGCGTTTTATTGTATCTCATTCAATCATTCATAGAAAAAAGTGAAATACATGTTAAGGTGGTACCCAACACCTTGACTAATATTAATTTGGCTCGTTTAATTTTCATAAAATTTGGACAAAATGTTTACTTTGACCCTTTGACAAAAATATAAAAATTTCAAAAAATTTGAACCAACCACTTTATCAGAAAAATTTCATTGGTTATATAGCAGTTTGACAAACACTAATTTTGATCATTGAGAAGCTTAATATTTCTTAACAATACAACGTAATTAAAACGTTTAGCTGATTTTTACAGAGTTATCTCCCTGTGGTGTTAGGTACCACCTTAAACGAACATTACTAAAGAAAAATATACAGTTTATTCACAGATACGGAGTTATGCAAGTAATAAAAGAGGTACAATATTGAATTCTGGATATCCTGTTGGTAATTTCACCTCTCTTTTACAATGGGACAATCAATACCACAAAGAAAAACAGATAGCACTATGACCAAAAGAATGTGTTGACGACTTGGGAAAACTGTAAAATTTGAATCATTTGTTTATAGGTTTTTGCTGATACTGTTCTTCAGATACGACTGTCTACTTTTGGTTTCACTGTAACATGTAAATAACTTGTATATAGGTTTTTGCTGGTATTGTTTTTCAGGTACGATTGTCTACCCCTGGTATGACTTTAACATGTAAGTCACTTGCTTTGAAATGTCTGTCCTAATTCAGGAACCGTATCAGTGATTTCCTTATCTCACACTGTTTTGTTGCTATTACTAGAAATTTAGTAGTGATCGTCAACTGATTGAATTCTAATATATCAATACATGTAAATTGTTATTTTAACACAATATTCAGAAATATTTTATGACATCGTTTCTGTAGAAAACAACCAAAAAGTAATTCGTATAAATACAATTATCCAATAACGATAAAAATGTCGTTACAGGTACATGTAGTTAAATTGCTGACCGTGTCATCTAAGAAAGTTTATCAAGATATCAGCCTTATAAAAACACATAACGATAGATTCGTCGTTAAAAACTCACATATGACATTTGATTCATGAACAATTGGAAAGACAAGACAAGTTCGAATTTTAAAATTAAACATTCCAAAATATCTTTATCTAATCTGGATTAGGACATATCTGTCTAGGAGTAGAATACCAATTAATGTTTAGAACGAATTTTGCATTGATATAAGCGAATATCTTCTAATGTTGGATATTAATTACTACCGGAATCTTAAGTATGCAAAATTTAATATGAATTAAGGATTTATATGTATCAATGTTCAGATTTAGTTTGTAACCCGGATTTGTTTTTTTCTCAATCGATTTATGAATTTCGAACAGCGGTATACTACTGTTGTCTTTACTTTTCCTTGACGTTCTTGTCATACTAAGCTTAATACTTATTCTGCTTTGTATAAACAATATACAATAAAATACAGGCATAAGCATACAGATACTTAATGGGCAAATTTGAAGCTTTATCTTTGGTTAGTATCAAACATACTTTGCCCGTTCTAAGAATGTTATTATTTTATCTTACCTTGGAGCAATATCAAGATGATTTGCCCTGAATCCAGAACTCGATGCACCCTGGACAAACCAGTAGAGTATTAATATAACAACTGCTAGCTCTCTCTGAGTATAATCTAAAAAGCTTAATCCAATAAGGAATGGAGCAGACAAAAACATACCTGAAACAGAGATGGAGCAGTACACTGTTTTTTTTTGTGTGTGACAGATTTGTAATAGTCTCTTACTTAATAATTTTAAACGATTTACTGCGTTATAAAGTAAGACGAGACACAGAAGATACCAAAGGGCTGTTCAAACTCATAAGTCAAGAACAAACTATTTTGTAAACTGTTGTTTATCTTTTGTTCGTTTTTTTCGTTTTTTTGCCATGGCATTGTGGTTTCCTTTTGAACTTTTGAGTTTGAATATCCCTATGTTAATTCCCGCCTGTCTTTTATGATAATATACCTTAATAAAAGGTTTGAACCTTAGAATGAACTTATTTTATGGTCCTATACTAATACATTTTCATGTTCAATTAACCATAAACCGTAGTTTTGTATCTAATATCAAAAGTACACACCAAATAAGCATGTGCAAGTCTCAATTTCATGATAAACAATTTTAGCCAACACCTTTCAACTGATACGGGACGGACAGTTTTTAAGTTAAGCCAATTGCTACTGATTTTACAGTTTGTTCTTATATAGTGCTGTTATACCACTGTAAAGGGTCAGGGGAGGGTTGAGCGCTCACCAACATGTTTATCCCCACCACATTCTTTATTTGCCTGTCTCAAGTTCAGTGAGTGTCGATGGTTCGTGTCTGTCGTATGTGGTTTTCGTAAATGTTTTGGTAATAAATTTGGCCGTTAATTTTCTCAATTGAATTGCATCACTTTTTCATGTCGGGGCCTTTTATAGTCGACTAAACGGAATGGGTTTTTCTCAATGTTGAAGGCCGTACGGTTGCCAATAATTGCTTTCATTCCTTTCATTTGAACTCAGGTGGACAGTTGTCTCATTGGCAATCATACCACATCTCCTTAGATCTCATATCGCGAAGCATAAACACAATGTATGCATTTTTGTCATTAAACATGGTATTATTAATGACGCAATGCCATATCTTGGGTAAGATTTCGTCAGGCTGAAATATAAGTTAGTATTTGCTAACTACACATAAGAACTCATCAAGGATACCAGGCTGATAATTTGGTTTGCCGACGCGCGCTTCGTCAACATAATACTCATTAGTGTGACTCGAATCAAAACAGTTGCAAAGTCAAATATTAAAAGGTAAAGAGCATTAATAACCGTAAATTCAGAAAATTTGCCAAATGCAGCTAAGGCAATCGAAACATGGGATAGAATAACCAGTTTAGACTAATAGGCTGGTGATGCCCTCGAGGACGAAACGTCCACCAGGAGTGTCTACGTTTTAAAGATAACATTAATTAAAGTACGAAACAAAAATCTTACCTATACTTTGAAACAGAATTCTAATACTTCGTGTCGATATTAATCCTGTCACATAAAATTTATCTGCAAAATACCCACTCACCATTGTCCCTAACAACCGACCAATAAACGGTACAGATGAAACAACTCCATTCTGTAAATAAAAACTTTGTAATATGGATTCAAACATTTAGCTATGTGAATATTACAGTATTTCATTTCATGTAAGATGTTTGCTCCATAAAAGAGACAACCAATTCCAAAAGTGATCAGTAAAACGTATTGTATTGTCGAAATAATATATGACAGCTGATTTTTATATGGCACAATTCCCCAGACTAGTACAAAAAATATTTCTGTTAGTAGAGTAGACCAAAATATATCGTTAACACGCATGTGATTAAAAAAAAATTTTAGGTCAGGAAAAAAGGCTCAAAAGTATGTTTGCGTTTAGTAATTTGTATAATTATACTTAAGAAAGTAAGCGATGGTAACATTAGTTATTAAGCCATATGTGAGCACTTTTAATATTTACCATTTCCAGAGGATTCACTAGTGTAAGCATGCATTTCAAAATATTAAGTTAAAAATAATTGTGTATATACAAACAGATACATAAGAGAATAAAATAAACTTTCAGTTTGTTTGTAATAGTGCTATCATTATTGAAGAAACCAGACTCTTTGAAGTATATCTGAACTAATTAAACCATCTTCTTTTATATGACGATATAGAACATTCTTATTAAAAACTCACCATGGTTGTGTCAAATTTCATTATGTCATTCATATATAACGGCAGAAAAGTTCCGAGTGTTGTGAAGATATATCCGAATGATATATGTGCAGACAGTATAGCCCAGAAGGCCGGTGAGGTCAGAATCTTCAACCATGGGGGGTCTGGCATCTAGATGAAAGGAGAAACATCTTTATCACAATACAGTCATGTAAAGTTGCTGTTTATTTTCTTTTTTCAGACCTCTATTTGGTTCTAAAGGTTTGTGCAATACATGGATCAGATTTTTTTCTATTTGCGTTTGGTGTATTTACGTAATACAAGAAATACAATTTCAGAACTGTTGATTCTTTAGTTTTCAACAACAATATTTTCCTGGCGTAATTAATCATAACTTAAAACTACATGTAACTGACTTTTGTGGTTACATTGCCGTTAAGCTTTAATTTGGTAAAACCACATAAAACGACCTTCAACTAGCTCTCACCTTGACATTTGCACTATCACGTCGCCCTCTGGTGATGTACGCTACCTCTGCTTTTGTCATATTTGGATGATCTTCAGGGTGATCGTAAACCACTTTAACCCATACTACCATTATCATGAGATTCAGTGCACCTGTCAATTATATAATTTAATACATAAGTAAACGTGTGTTATTCTATTTCGTCTACATGAAATAAAGGACGTACCATGCACAGAACAAGTTAGTAACAATGTATGTCTCCATTCTGATGAGGAATTTGCCTTATAAAACTCATCAAACCAGGCTTATAATTCGGCACGCAAGACGCGGATTTCGTCAACATTAGCTATTAGCCGCTCGAATCAAAACAGTTGGAAAGCTTGTATGTATATAATGAACCTGACATAACCAGTTATTTCATGTTTCTATCACAATAATACATTTAACTCCGATGTTGCCAAATACATTTCGTCGAAAATAAAATATACCAATCAAGTGCAAATTTTGTACATGAATCTCCTTTTCTGAAAGCATTCACGGACATATATATCTGGTGACCGCACAATAGTTGCCTGTAAAATTTTGGCCTATTACGTATCAAAACAATTTGACCTAGTCTCGAGTCCCATGACAGTGGTGTATCATTCAAAATCAGGAAAAGATAACTCTGTCAACGTAAGCATTCTCGCTTCATTTGCAGTTCATGATATTCCGTCGAGTTTTTCTCTTTGTTCTTGATTTAAGAATGTTGAACATCGGTAAACTTCTGTTGCCTCTTACTGACGATGAAAGTCTCCTGTCTTTATACTGATTCCTAAACTTCACAAAATTTCTTATAAAGAACAACATATAGCCGGGTCGTCATTATTCTCGACTAAACATCTTCCTAAAGTTCTTACCCCCATTATTACTACAGTCAAAGATGGCTTTCAGAAATAGTGTGATGAGGCATATTCAGCCAGTGATGTCAAAGATCAGATATGGAAAATTCTAAAGATCTACTGCAAAATCTTCAATCATAGTCTATACAATTTTGCAGCATTATCAAAACTTTTGTTTTCTATGCTTTACACTTCTATACAGACAACTTTGTGATATAATTACTTTTCTACAACTCTAATTTTATAATGAACCAATATATAGAAAGAGAGAATAATCTTTCAATTAACAGTTATAATTTTATTACTATGTTATCATCGTATAATTGATTATAATGTAATTGATTGCTAGATAGTGATGTTCACATTGGAATGACATTAGCTTGTTTGTTATTCATAGCATTTAAAACATTTGATATATTTTGGGCAACACAGTTCGACATCAAAAACAGCGCCTCATATATTTTCTATTGTATTTCATTCTTTCATAAACCTTAAATTAAGTTCATAACCTTGCTTCATAAGAAATTAACGAATATAATTGGGTATTCAATTTGTTCTATTGATGTTATTGGAAATCTGAGACACTGTTTGGGATAACTGGACAAAGAACTACATGTGCCAAAATCAGACATATTTGGGCACCCATCTAGGAGCTAATTTCAGTGTAAACTTCATTTTCATGTCAAACGTATGTGTCACACTGTAATGAATTAAGATTTTCCTACATGACCTCAATTATTTCAATATATTTCACACATGTATCATGGTGATACTTCAGGATCGCTCGTACATGTTCACACTATACGGACTTCATTCGTAGGGGTGTGCTCTTTACACACAAAAACTGCTCCAACAGATTTATGAGGAACATCAACTTAAATTGACAGTACATAAGTGTTACCGTCATCATCATGAATGTGTTGACCGATACGATATATAAAGGCAACAGTAGTATACCGCTGTTCGAAATTCATAAATCGATTGAGAAAAAAATAAATCCGGGTTACAAACTAAAACTGAGGGAAACACATCAAATATAAGAGGAGAACTACGACACAACAGAAACACAACATAAAAATGTAACACACACAGAAACGAACTATAATATAACAATGGCAATTTGCCTGACTTGGTACAGGACATTTTAAGAAAAAAATGGTGGGTTGAACCTGGTTTTGTGGCTAGCCAAACCTCCCGCTTATATGGCAATGTTAAATATAACATTAAAATGACAACATTACATGAAAGGACTACAATAAAAATAAATAGAACATATAGGAAAGAGAAACACACAAATAATAGCTATCAAATGGTACCAGGTTTATAATTTAATACGCCAGACGCGCGCTTTGTCCACACAAGATTGATTGATTGTTGGTTGCTTAAAGTCCAGTGGCAAACATTTCATGCATATTCAGGACGAGAACAAATTGACAAAAACACAATAGGTAGGTTCTGTAATAGGGGCGTCCGGGGTCAAGGTTGGAGAAATTTAGACTGCCACGGGAAATGAGGGTATATTGGATAGGGACAGAAATTTAGCCTTGCAACAGGTCACCTACGTGCCCATCAAAGAGTTGTTGCAAGGGTTCTGAACGTGCAAAGAGCGTGGCACTCTCTTTACACGAGGCATATGTCTGTATTTCGATTCACAAGCGACATGTTTTCGCAGTCTTTAGATTCCAGAATAGGTGTCTTATCCGTAAGTGTAACGAATGTGTCCTATTTCCCATTGTGACATTTTTAGTGTGAATTCGCTTGGCGGGAGATGCATGCATAGCAGGAGACGCTTACTCTCTCAACGCACCCGGTCTGACTCCTTTTTGGAGAACATGCGATTCACTGAGTTTTTATTTGTTACCTTGATTTGTCTGCCTAATCGATTTATAAGATTCAAACATCGGTAAACTACTGTTGCAATAATCAACGTCAGTGTAAAATAGTATAATATTCGATTTTTGAAGGATGGCAAATGTTATCTAAAATCATGAAATGTCTTTGTTCAGATTCATTGACATAAGAAACCACAAATAGTGTCTGCAATAAGATACACTACATTATTGGTAGGAAGACTGTTGATTTAATATAGTTGACTTTTGCCCTTAGTATCAAAGTTTATAAGTTTTTGTGACGAACAAAGCGTTGCCTGAATTAACAATCTACTCACCAAATATGTAAAAAATAAAAGGCCAACCATTTTGATATGGTATAGAACACATCAAGCCAGAGAAGATAAACGTCACAACATTCCCCATAATTTGTCCTGAAAAAATACATATTATTCTGAAACGTTCTGGTAAGATGGTAAATCAAATTTGGTTATTTTGATTACAAGGTTGTCGAATCAGTAGTTAAATATCAATGTGAATCATAGTTTATATAATTTCTGTTATTAGAATATTTATTGTAATTGTAAAACTGAATCTTCAGAAAACAAAATTAACTGTTTTGTTTTTGTATGAACGCTATTTATACCAATATAATAAAAATCAGACATAAAGCATGCAAACATTTTAGCGTCTTGAGAAGGGTATTATTGGTTACTGAGGGGAAACTCAATGTAAATGGGCTGGTAACTAAGAAGGGTAACTAAATGCAAACGAGCTAGGGAAGCACCATGGAAACTATGAAAAAGTATGATACATCAAAATAAATAAAGCTGTTTAGAATATGTTAATTGGTAGAAACTGAAATTGGAAGCGTACAAGTAAAACAAACTTATGAAATATATATAAATAAGAAGATGTGATATGAGTGCCAATGAGTCAACTCTCCATCCAAGTCACAATGTATAAAAAGTAAACAATTATAGGTCAAAGTACGGCCTTCAACACTGAGCCTTGGCTCACACCGAACAGCCAGCTATAAAGGGCCCCAAAATGACTAGTGTAAAACAATTCAAATAGAAAAACCAACGGTCTAATCTATATAAAAAACGAGAAATGAGAAGCACCTATGAACCACACCAATAAACGACAACCACTGAACAATAGGCTCCTGACTTAGGACAGGTGCATACACATGCTACGGGTTTAAACGTTTTAATAGGCGCCAACCTTCACCCTAACCTGAGACAGTAGTGTAACATTACATAAAAAGACGCACTATAAAATATCAATTAAAATGGCTTAACTCGATCAAAAAGACATTTAAACAAAAACAAGTAAACATACACTGAACGAATAAGTTTGATTATGAAATATGCTTGCTGTTCCACTTTTTAAATTCAAAATTTGCTTTAATTCTTTTACAATTAATCAGTATATCCGTACCATAAAATTATTTAAAGCTTAATTTTACTTCACATATTAAATAAAGTACAATCTTTAAAGGGATGCGAAAAGAGTTATTTCTCTAGCGATCAACTCTGCCTGAGGGAGTTGGAACCGTAGTTTTTTAATAATTATTTTAATTCATCAACGGGGATTTTTAGTAAATATAAAAAAGAAGATGTGGTATGATTGCCAATGAGACAACTCTCCACAAGAGACCAAATGACACAGAAATTAACAACTATAGGTCACCGTATGTATGTTTTATCATGTCAGTATAGAAGCACCGACTGCTGAGCTGATGATACCCTCGGGGACTAACCAGTAGTGGTATCGCACCGTTGCTAGTAAAAGAAATGAACACTTTATACATTTCGTGCGTTTCTACGCGCTTTTCTGGGTGTGTCTTCATCAGGAATGCTGACACCAATAGAAATATTAACAACTGTACCCCAGAAAACTATGCGCTCAGATATATGTTCAAAAACAGGTATACACAAGATGATGCTTTTGTCTACTGAACATGACACAATATCACACACCTATATCCCCCTCCAAAAAAAAAAAAATTTGACCCCCAAAAAATTACCCTCATTTCAAGTAAAAGAGCCCTAAATTTTCATAAAAAAAAAGCAAAAAAAAACGCAAAAACACCAAAATTTTCTTACTCCCAAAAAATTTTTTTTTTTACTTTGGAAAAAAACGTTATTAAAAACACCCAAAAAACAACAAAAAAATTCCAAAAAAAAAATAAATAAAAAAACCGGGAGAACAGGCGAAGAAAGAATTCTGTGGGATTTAAGAGAAAAAATAATTTCCCCAGTGCGCCCCAACCTTGATTTTTAATTAATTTTATCAATATAGTCTAGTAATAAAACGGATCAATACGACTACAACTTCAATTGCTTTTTACATTTGTGAAGTGTTATAGACTAAATCGATCATTGGAAATATTTACATGGTTGTCAAGAGTGTGTTTACATGTTGCCTGGGTGATGTAAACATATAGCAGACGTTTATTGACAGTGGAGAGATTGGAGTATTTCACAAGAAAATCATCTGTAGGTGTTTATTCATTCTATTATTTTGTGTTGTGAATAGATTCCGTTGTAACATTTTATTGGAATTTCGTCAATTTGATCATATACTCAAAAAATGATTGCTACACAAAATTACACATGGACGGATGAACAAAAAGCAACTATTTTAGAACATCAGGCTTTTCATATGAATATGACTAATTTTTTAAATAATGTTGTGATAGAAGGACCAACCAAGACGTTTCCGAGGAAACCAAAGAGTAATTTAAAGCAAGTAATCATGACAAAGAAAACAAAAGGAGTACAAAAACGAAGTCATGAACAACTTCATGCATATTTAGTTGAAAACTTTATAGAAACAAAGAAGACGATAGACAGAGATGTGTTTCTGTTTAAACTTGAGGACATTACCACTGAAGAACAAGCGCTTGAAAAATTAAAAGACGGGTTTAAGCATCTTAAACGTCAAAATGCTCAGACTCTCTTCTTTTTTATTCAATATGGAATGTTGCTCAATGGTGTTTACAAGAAATTTTTCGAACTACGTATTCAAGGGATTATCACTATTACATGGGGTAAGTGGCTTCTTGAAAACATTGGGATTCATCCTTCCTATGCTCGAAGGTTGCGGGAATGTGCAAAATCGTTGGGAGGATACTATAAACTTTATAAAGTTGGACTTTCTTTCACCGAGATCTTCAAGCTTAAGAAAGAACTTGTAGCTTTGTTTAACAGCAGCCCAGAAATGAACACATTTTGGCAAGAAAATCCTGATATGTATTCCACACGAGAAATGGAATCATCTCAAGAAGTCATGACTGCCGACGCTGTAAGAGGATACGCCATTTAAATTATGTATAGTACAATATTTGTTCTTGTTTGTCATGTACAATCCCACTTTACTACCGTAATTCATAACATGGTAACGGTGACACTACAGTAGCGCCGTTGCTAAGGATTTTGTGTTGACTATTAACTGATAATGGATTCTGTATTTCTACATACCTGAGTGACTGTTATATGTACATGGATGATAATGTGTAATTTTGCAAATACTTTTACAAATGAATGTTATAATAAAGATTTAAAACTTAGTCATTTGTAATTCTTGTTCATAGAAAGCACCTGTTATTTCTTCGCCTTTTAAATCAATTATTTTATAAGTAAAAGGAATTGTATTTAAAACTTTTTCAATTACAAATATTTCTTTAGTCCAACGAGTAGTATAACCCTTTTCAAATTTACCCTTTTTTTTTGTTATTCTTACTCTAGCACCTACTTCGAATTTAGGTTTTTTAATTTTCTCTTCCTTTTCTGGATATAAATTTTTATACACTGTTAATTCATTTTTTAATTTACTTGCTTGAACAGGTGTCATTTTAATTGAAGAATGTACTGTATTATTATAATTTTTAACTAATTTATCTAATATATCATAATATTTTAAAGTTTCATTAGCAGTAAAGTATTTATACATATGTTGTTTCATTGTTCCTATCCATCGTTCCACTACACTGGATTTTTCTTCATTCTCAGTTGAATATAACTTTATGTTATTATCTTTTAACAATTCTTTTACTTGTCGATTATAAAATTCGGATCCTTTATCTGACCAAATATATATTGGTTTTCTTTCTTTAAATAATGTTTTAAATGCTTCACTCACTGCTACTCCTGTTTTATTTTTCAATGGAATCAACCAACCATATTTACTAAAAACATCTATAACTGCTAATAAATATTTATAGTGTTTATTTTGTTTTGAATATTGTTGTATATCTATCAAATCAACTGCCCATGTTTGATCTATTGAATTAACATAAACACGTCTTTTAGGAAAAGATTTTATAACTCTATGATGTAATTCATCTGCTAATTTATTTGTTAGATTTGTTTTAGACATTTTTAAGTAACTAAAATGTTTTCTTAAAAAATGGAGGCAAAAAAGGATAAAATTTTATCCAAGCGAGAAGATTCATATAAACTTGTTTTGACAAAAGAATATAAACATAAAGCAAGTATTTATGTATTTAATTATAAAATTAGTCTAAAGGATGAAAAACAAGAAACATTTACAAATGCTTTTGACCACATGGTAGACTATTCCATAAAAGATTACCCTAATGGAAGAATTAAAATAGTACCTATTCATGAAATCATAATTACTAAACATAAAAGCTGGCCTATAAGAACATATAATACAGTTAAAAAGTTATTCATGGATCAAATGGAAAGATTATTAAATAGTGCTGAAGAATTAAATTTAGAAGAAGTTATTTTTGAAGTTACTATTATACCCAATAAAAGAGGAAAAGGTAAAGCTTTAAAAATATTAGATGTCATAAATAAAAGAAGTATTATCAAAATAAAAAATGATGATACAATATGTTTATCAAGGGCAATTGTAACTTTTTTGGCTTCAAATAAGTTATTAAAAGATTTTACAGATTCTCAATTAAAACACATTAAAGAGGGTAGACCATTACAAAAAAGATTAGCTGAAGATTTGCATGAACAATCAGGAGTAGAAATAAAAGAAGAAGGAAATGATTTTGAAGATTTAAAAGTTTTTGAAAATTATCTTAATATTAGGATAATTGTTTTTACATCAAATAGTGCAGAATATATTTTATATAGTGGCAATGAAGAATATAATAAACAAATATATTTATATTATCATTATGAACACTTTGACACTATAACAAATATAACAGGATTTTTAGCTAAACGTAGGTTTTGTAAAGTATGTTTAATTGGTTATACTGAACAACATACATGCAAAGATAATACAGTAACAACTATCAGAAAACAACATATTTGTGATAAATGTAACAAAACATATACAGGTAAAAATCACAAATGTGGTGAAAAAATATGTTTAATATGTTATGAAAAATACACGGAAAGTAATGAAGAACACTTATGTTATATGAAACCATCAGTACCAAAAC